CCCTCCCTCCCTCCCTCTCTCCCTCCATATACATGTATTAACATACATATTATATGTATGTATATATATATACATATATCATATGTATTTATATATGTATATATATATATATATATATATATATATATATACTGTATATATATATATAATATATATATATATATATATTATATATATATATACTATATATACTGTATATATGTATATGTATATTATATATATATATATATATATATATATATATATATTATATATATATTATATATATACTATATATATGTATATATATATATCTGTGTGTGTGTGCGTGCGTGCGTGCGTGCGTGCGTGCGTGCGTGCGTGCGCGTGCGTGCGTGTGTGTGTGTGTGTGTGTGTGCGTGCGTGTGTGTGTGTGTACATATACAGGGGGGGAAGCGGGAGAGAGGAGGGAGGGAGGGAGGGGGAGGAGGAGAGAGGAGGAGGGGAGAGAGAGAGAGAGAGAGAGAGAGAGAGAGAGAGAGAGAGAGAGAGAAGAGCGGGAGAGAGGGTAGAGAGGGAGGAGGGAGGAGATAGAGAGAGAGAGGGAGAGGAGAGAGAGAGAGAGAGAGAGAGAGAGAGAGAGAGAGAGAGAGAGAGAGAGAGAGAGAGAGAGAGAGAGAGAGAGAGAGAGAGAGAGAGAGAGAGAATTCAAATTCAAAATACTTTATTCCATTTGTCAGAATGGTAATTCTTATTATATGCAGTGATATTACAGTACATATAGATATAAGTAAAACATAGAATCAATGGTGGTACATAAAAATATATCTATATTTTGAAACCTGAGGCCATTGATGATTTATGAGATGTTCCTTTAATTTCTTCTTGAATGTATTTGAGCTCTGAATGTTTCTTATATTACAAGGTAGTTGGTTTCACATCACGGGTCCACGTGTTAAGTGTCTGGCGTGCCATTATATCTGTACGTGATCTTTTGACATATATGGAGTTAACCTGTCTCGTTTGGACACAGGTTGTGTTACCTACAATTAGAAGGGTTAAAATCCATTTTAGATAAACACCTTGTATCATTTTATGAATTGTTAATCAAGTAACACAGTTGGATTTGTATTGTACTTTTACCCAACTTAATTTGTTTATGTGTGAGATAATGTAGTCATACTTCTTCACGTTACCAAGTGCTACTCTGGCAGCAAAATTTTGTATTTTTTTAATTTTCGGAATCTGACCTTTGTTTATTATACCCCATATGTTGGAGCAATAATTAATTATACTGAGAACTAGTGTTTGTATAGCAGATATTCTAGTTTCAACGGGAATTATATTTCTGATATGGCTAAGGTAAATTAGTGTGCCCATTACTTATCTGTGGATGTTGTCGACGTGGTTCTCAAATGTCAATATTCTGTCAATGAGCACGCTTAGTTTTTTACGGAATTGCTCTATCTTATGTAGCTGTCTTTACATTTTATAGTTGTGTTTACAGGAATTTTGGTGGTGTTTTGGTTGCTACTTAGAAAGATACAATGTGCTTTAACTGGATTTATCTTGAAGCCATTTACGTCAAAGTATCCCTTTACCTGTGAAAGTGTCTTGTTTACAGAATCACTATGGAAAATTGTGAATCATCGGCGTATTAAACAAGAAGGCAATTTTGGGCTATGGTTGACAGATAATTTGCGAATATTGTGAATAGTATATTATTTAATGTGTAGGATACCAGGCCGGGTTATTTTTCGAATAGTACATATTCATGTTTATATTTTGTACAATATCCAACCGTGTTAAAGCTTCAATGGCTTTTCAGGCGTTTTTGACTTGTTGGCCTGGTATCCTACACATTAAATAAAATACCTTTCACTCATTCATTGAGTGCATGGAGGTATTAATAGAAGTAGGTATACTTGATTCCTTCATGCTGAGAAAAGCATAGTCCTTTGGCTTGACTCCCACTGCGAGCAATTCCACTTGAGAATCATTCATGCCCATTCTTCTCATCCACAGGGCTATTTTGATAGTTGTTCAATGAAAATATAACCATTAAAGTAATTATTTTCCATCCTTATTGAAATTTGAAAAGACCAAAATGAATATTATACCCCATGTGCTTTTTCCAAAATAGAGTCGAATTTTTGTGACGTCATCAAAATCAGACGCCATCACTTCTCATGGAGTTGCTACTGATCTAGCTTTTCCCTAGATTTATGGCGCGTGGACAGGCAGAACAGCCAGTTCTGGAACCTACAGACAAGGAGATTAATCGAGCGCATAGACTTAATGAGTTACGGGAGTCAGTAAAAATAATGAAAGAGGAAGAAGGGAGTGAGTATATGTGTTTTTAGGCAAAAAGGAGGGCATACATTTCTGTAGTACGGACACTACGGGAATTATATTTCTGAGGGAGGGAGGGTGAAATTGAAAGTGCGAGTTGGGAAGGCTACTGCGAAACCAGCTCCGGAGGTGGATTTGGAGCCATCAGCGTAAACATGAATGGAGGCTTGGTCAAGGGAATGGGTGATAACGGCTACATTGCGTTTTGGAGAATTTGAAGGGGGAGCTAGGGGGTGAGATAAGGAATTAGAGGGGGTGTTGATGTAGTATCAGGATGTGGAGGATCTGGGGAAGGGCATAGTTGTGACATGGATTCACGTGTGTATCCAGGAGGGAGAGGAAGGGATAGAGGGGATGGAGGGAGGGTTAATGTGGGTGTAGTTAGAGCTGAGGAGGATGGGTTGTGTTGGGAGTAAGAGAAAGGGGTGTAGGGGGAGTATGAATAGGATGAGGATTGATATCGGCAGTAGTTGGAGTTGAGGGGGATGGGTTATGCTGGGAGAGAGTAGCATGAAGGAGTGTAAGGGGAATATGAGTAGGAGAAGGATGGATATCGGCAGTCGGCAGTTTCAGCAGTAGAGCTGGTTGGAGAGTTTTGCAAGAGAAAGGTTTTCTTATGAGGGGGGGGAAGAGGAGACTGGTGTCTGGGGAGCAAAGGTAAAGGTAGGTGGAGGTGAGTATGTGTTAGGAGAAGAAACGGTGGAACGTATAGTCCGTCTGCTGCGGGTAGTGCGGGGAGGGAGAGGGGAAGGTGTTGGGGCTGTAGTTGAGATCGGAGTGTCTGGATTTAGAGTGGCAAAAGAATTTGAAGTTAAAGTGGGGAAGTAAGTAGGTATAGGGGAGGGTGTAGGAGCATTTTGGGAAGGAGGGGGAGGGGCAGAACGAGCGACATCATTAGAGTAGGGAGTAAGAGAAAAACCTCGTCGACGTGCTTCCTGTTTGGCTTCACGCAAAATGAGACCAAGTCTGTATGTAAGAGTGACCATCCGAGACTCAAACTTGTAGGTGGCACAGCCTCTATAAAATACATAGTTGGGGCCGCCGCAGTTAGCGCATGTGCGCGATTGTGGAGAGCAGTTTGATCGGTTATGACCAGGTTGGGCACATAGGGGGAATCGGGCTGTGGAATGGCAGTGTTTGGCAGGATGTCCAAAGCACCAACAGTTTTGACATTGACGGGGAGGAAGTTGGTATGGTAGGAGGGGATATTATCCACCAATGTAGATATGAAAAGGAAGGTCAAGTGTACGGACAGTACACATGTTGGCAATGTTGGTGGGAGGATTCTTACGATGACCTCTAGGAGGAATGGGGTAGCAATGAACTGATATCACACCAAGATCCTTGAAGAAGCAGGCGAATAAGTCTTCCCGACAATCTGACCCATCTTTGGTATCGATAGGGCAATTTGTACAGTTCCGGTACAAGTATCAGGAGTTGGGTGAGGTTCTGCAAGAATGGGGTTGCCAGAGAGACCTTAGATTTGATAATGCTATAGCTTCAGTTTCAGATGTAACTGTTATGAGACGGGAATGATCGGGTAGGGTACAGAAAGGGACTCTGCCCACTTGCTTTTGGAGATATTGTTGTTAGAGAAAAGTGTTGCATGAGTAAGGAGCTGTGGAGGGATCACGAAAAATCTGTCCCATTTGGCTGGGCTAAATAGAGTATTTGTTGAGCTAGGGTGGTAGGACGGGGAAGTGTGCAAGGGAGTATTATTGAGGGGGGTAGTATTACGGAGAAGTGGAGAATAAGGTTGTAAGGTAGTAATAAGGGGGGATGGGGTGTTTGATGAAGGTTGTGGGGGTAGAGGTGAAGTTGAGGAAGTTGGGAGCGTAGGAATGTCTCCTGGAGACTCAGTCTCGACTTGGGTGGATAATGTACTAGTACGCATTGAGTGCTGGGTGGGTACTAGCTGTAGTGTTCAGAGTCGTGGTCAAAGGAAAGCCTGGGACTGGGGAACCGGGCGAGATTGAATAGATGGGTCTATTTGATAAGAGGCAAGCCCCATTGCTCCTAATAAGGGTATTACGTCTTCATTACTGGCCATGGGAAGCCTTGACTATGTTGGGGAAAGAATCAGTCCACCCTCAGGGGCCCCTTGAGGGGTAAGGGCTAGTCAACTAAAACATGGGAATACCGTGCCTATGGGTCCCTCAGGCCATGCAGGACTGGCACAAAGTCAGCCTTTCATCCTCTTAGCACGGCTCTTACATCTTAGGAAGTGGATAGTAAAAAGGGTTGGAGAAAGGACGGAAACGAAAGGAGTGAGAAAAGACCGTGCAAAATTAGTTGCGTCGAAGGCTGAGGCCCAAGGTAGGAGATCCTACCCCCCCCCCAACAACGGGCAAGGGATTGGGGGTATTTATCATTAGTCTATGGATTGCCCAAAATAACTGTTTGTCACTACGCAAACCTATCTCCTGTTTCCTTTTACAAACTGATTATGAATTTAGTATTACTTCCTTTAGTGCATTTAGGTTTCATTGAAGTTACATACATTTTACATATTAATAACAACTTGTCAGTCATAATCTTAGTTCTTGGAAGTATCATGTAATGTTTTTAGATCTTTCCTTGTAGAACTGTATGCCTCTCCATTTCATTTTTAATGTTTTGTAATCTTGCATTAAGGCTCAACATTCAATTCTAAAAGTCAGAATAAAGCCAGTATCAATAAAAAAACAAACAAATGTTATAGATTTTATTCACAAAAAAGGTGCTTTTGGCATAGAGTATTGTACTTCAAAAATGAAATGATCTGCCTAGTAATATGACCTACATAATTTTTTCCACATCAACTTAATCCAAACTTAAAAGTAATGTGGCTAATTGCACCAAAAATATATGTAGTGTATACATAATACAAAAATTTATCACTATAAAAGATTTCAGTAAACAATACTATCAGAATGACAATGAATATCTCCTAGCCATTCAAACTCAGGTTCCTTAAAAATGAAAATAAAATTAACATTGGTATATAAGACAATTATAAAATATTTGATGCAGACACACAGTGCACAGACTATATTTTCTTGCTCGCACAAGTCCACAAACTGTCAATCATGGCGCTGCTGCTCCCAGACACGCTGCTACACACTAACATCTGTCAAAGAAGGAAAAACAATTAGTTTCTCAAAAGGTGGTTTCTTGCAAAGTGACTGCCTTTAACTTTATATTTAAATTTTAGGCACTCCACTAAATGTACAAGAAATAAAAGATACTTGCTCCTCTGCATAACATGACCACTTCTATTTTGACATGGTATACTAAAAACAACAAGACACAGGATACTTGGGTGCTGGCAAGCTGGTTGGTCAGATCGGCGAGGCACCTGGGACTGTTGCCTGTAGCCGCCACACCACACAATTCTCGGCACAGCCGTTGTAGGGGTTTATGCTGGTCCCTCACTATTACACCATGGCTCATTACTCCCCAAATCACTAACCCCAAGTTGCTTGAAGACTCTCTGCGACAATTTCCATCATTGGGTAGGTTTTCAAACACATTTATATTTGTCACTTTGTTACACAAAGCCCTTTTACTTCTCAAGGATCTTTCTATACTATATCACTATGGTGATTTTATAGCAGTTCACTATTCCATGGTATCAACCATTCACTTCCACGAGTGTCTTTTCTTGTGTAATCCAGTTACTCCCATCGGCTGAACAGCTCAGAATTACTCTAAGGTACAACAAATTTAATTGGCACAGACCATATAAACAAATATTAATGACCACAATCTAAAATCTGAAGCCAAGAGCTCATTTTGTTCCACAAGTTTAGATTGCTCCTAGTATTTAGTTCTTTAGCTTCTTCAGTGCAATGTCATTTTAAGTTCTCTTGAAATCACTTCTTAGTTTACAGGGTTTGAAAGAATTTTCCAAGTAGAGATGTGTATTTAATTCATCTGCCAGGTTTTCATTTATACTCTAGTCATCTTGTTCTTCATATTTAATTCTCAGGAGCAATTGCAGATAAAGTATCACAGCACTACCACTCTTGACAATTCTTGATGCTTAACAGGAACAGGTGTGTTTCTTGATGGTGTTGTGTTGAATGTGTTTCTTGCATTGTTGACAGATGAATAATATGACCTCCACTCTTTTATGTGGATAAAGTCAACATGATCAGCACATAGTTCATCTATTTACTATACATAGAAGCAATCACAAAACATTGTTCAACCACTTACATTGCCATTATTCTGCACCAATCTCAATTTAATGTAAACCTCCACATCAAATATTTTCCATCACTAAACATTTCCCATCCTACATGGGTTAACCGATTCACTAAGAAAAAACCCTTCCCAGTAGATCCCCACTATTGCCAGGCCCACGCTTCGTCCTCACACCCAGCAGCACACAATGTGGGCAACACCAGAGCTGCCATCCGTGATGCCACAAAGCACCATGCCACCAGCTGCAGTAGCAAACCGTCGGCGCCACCACAACAGTACCCAGATGATGGATGATGATGATGAAGGCCTCCACTCCTGGCCACCAATTACCTCACTTGTTGACCTGGTTGACATAGGCGTCAAGCTCGGCATCCAATTCTTCAGCGGTGGGCACAACCTGGTTCCTGCCCCCCCGCCCACCCATGCCTCCTCTGCCTCGGCCTCCACCACGAGTACTTCCTCTGGTGTTCCCTCTTCGGTTGCTGCCGCGAATACCACGGCCCCCCCGACCACCTGGAAAACATAAGCCACCATTATACTACTGTTAAATATACAAGATTTTGCCTGTAAGAAAAGAATGAGTGACCTTGACCAGATAATACAAAGAATACAAAGTTAATATATATTCCAAACTTAGAGGTATCCTTACTTACCATAACTGGCCCCACTAATGGGTCTAGGTCCTTGTGCAAGTCTCTTGACAGGTGCTGTGTTCCTCACAGCACTGGCACCACCGTCCATGGTGATATTCATTGGTCTGCCATCAAGCTGTACTCCATTGTACTGTTTAAGGGCCTTGATGGCATCAGCATGTCGTTCAAATGATACATGAGCTGTTCCAAGAGATCTTCCAGAACGATCATAGTGAACTGCTGCACTTCTTATTGTTCCAAATTCTGTAAACAATTCCTGTATGGGAGAGATTTTTAATAGATTATGGCCAAAATAATAATCATATATAAAAGAACCATAACTAAGCAAAAACAGGATAAAGTATACAAAACATATATCACTATGTTATAATCATTACTGTCATCAATACATCTTGGCCAAGCAATTACCAACACACATTCTGACTAGTGTGAATAAATCTATGAATGTGTATGTGTGTGCGTGTGTGTGTGCGTGTGTGCGTATGTGCGCGCGTGCGTGCGCGTGTGTGTATGTGCGCTGCGTGCGCGTGTGTGTATGTGCGTGTGTGTATGTGCGTGTATGTATGTGCGTGGTGTGTAAGTGCGTGTATGTATGTGCGTGTGTGTAAGTGCGTGTATGTATGTGCGTGTGTGTAAGTGCGTGTATGTATGTGCGTGTGTGTTGTGTATGTATGTGCGTGTGTGTATGCATGTATGTGCGTGTGTGTATGTGCGTGTGTAAGTGGGTGTATGTGCGTGTGTGTAAGTGGGTGTATGTGCGTGTGTAAGTGGGTGTATGTGCGTGTGTAAGTGCATGTATGTATGTATGTATGTATGTATGTATGTGCATGTATGTATGTATGTGCATGTATGTATGTATGTGCATGTATGTATGTATGTGCATGTATGTATGTATGTATGTATGTGCATGTATGTATGTATGTATGTATGTGCATGTATGTATGTATGTATGTATGTATGTATGTATGTACGTGTGTGTGTATGTATGTATGTATGTGCGTGTGTATGTATGTATGTATGTATGTGCGTGTGTATGTATGTATGTGCGTGTGTATGTATGTATGTATGTATGTATGTGCGTGTGTATGTATGTATGTGCGTGTGTATGTATGTATGTGCGTGTGTATGTATGTATGTGCGCGTGTGTATGTATGTATGTATGTATGTGTGTGGTGTATGTATGTGTGTGTGTATGTATGTGTGTGTATGTATGTATGTGCGTGTATGTATGTATGTGCGTGTATGTATGTATGTGCGTGTATGTATGTATGTATGTATGTATGTGCGTGTATGTATGTGTATATGCGTGTGTGTAAATACAAATATACATGCAAATACAAATACATATATATATTGTATACACTTGTTCCTTTTATATCTTGTCAGAAAATATGGAGGAGGTTTGCCAAGCCATGCCAGAGGAAACTGCACTTGCATTACAGTGACTGTATTTCAGACTGAAGGACTTTCATCAAAGATCATAATGAGTTTCAATTGGATTTGGATAATTCTTTATAATTACGTCCTTGTTTGAAATTACTGTTGACATTTAACTAAATATAAAACAATGGAAATAAATATAGCTACACTTACATGGATATCTGAATCAGACACGCCGAAGTCTAAATTTGAGATCAACAGCTTGGCGGGACCTGACTGCTGAATGCGGCCACCACCACCTCCTCCACCTCCCTGATACATGTCATGGTTCCAGCGACCCTCAACATTGCCCTGTTGAAAAAAGGTTAATATTAGCAATTCAGTAAAAACAGTTAATAAATATATTCCATTCATAATAACTACTACACAGTTGATCTTAATCTTTCTGGTCCAACTCTGACACAAACTTTAACACTAAATGAATGCACCAATAAACTAGAATCTGTCTTCTTACAAATCAAATTCATGGAATTTATCTAAACATGGAATATTCCTTAACATCAGATCAATCACTGCAAAAATAAGGTTGTATAAGAAATTCACTCAACACAGGTATAGATGCTACAGCCTCATATTTACCACAAAATGCCGAAACTATCCAGTGGATTTTTGGGACTTCTAAAGGGTGTATTATTTTAGTATTTATCAGCTGCAGATAAATCACCTATGTAGTGTACAAAATCAACACACTGGTATAATAAATTAGTGAATGTCTAATTCAGAGCTGGTAGCTTTGTGTGTAATGAAAGCTTTGGAGGGCAACAAAGGTTCATTGTCCTGCTTGTCCTGATAAGCTGTCTGGACTTGCAAGAAACAGAATTCTGAACAAGGCAAAAGTCCCCAACTCGAACGTGAGCACTACCCTAAACACACACTACCACAAAGATCAACACAACCAAATACCATCCTGACCAGGGGTATTTTCCCCCAAAAGGTACCATATTTCTCTTGGCAGTGTATACTAAAAGATGATGTTCTTGTAGAGGACAAGACGTTTAGTTATTGGTACAAGAAATAATCTGCAGACAAACAAAACCAAATATAAAAGAAGGATCTTCGCAAAAGGTACCATATTTCTCTTGGCAGTGTATACTAAAAGATGATGTTCTTGTAGAGGACACAGAAAATACTGCTCACAGACACACGGCTTCAGTTCTACCTTAACCGAGCATTGAGGAGTTTCCAGGATGGTGTTGGGGCAGAACCCAACATCGATTCTCCCCTTGGGCAGTGCTTGAATGGCACACCCAATCATAGCTTTGATTATAGGATAAATTATAAGACGTGAAGTTGGGGATAGCACGTGTGTACTGTTTAAATCAGTAACTTTTTTTACACATAGATGGCTCCAACAGGTACTAAGTCACCAATGAGCAAATTACAAAAATTACCTATCTCATCGGTTTACC